ACCTCTGCAATTACAAGTGGCAACGGTGTCACGGTTGCTCAATTGACGATCTTTTGCATGATGTGAGGAAGAGTTGTTGCTCCTTCTTTCCTGTGTGAGAAGACCTCTTCCTCCGTCTTTCCTGTTAGGACAGGGTAATGTCCATGTTTAGAGGTCCATATGGGTTCTCTACAGGAACTTCTGAAGGTAGTGGCATGGTATGTTTCTGTTTTCTGTTTAATTTCTTTCCTTTTTTGGTGAATACACAGCGTCAGGCATGCAGGTAGCAAAAGTACTGTAAGTCCCCATGGCCCCTGATATGGTGATCTACCTTTAGTTGTTGGCAACCTATGGCCTACCATATAACTAACATTGCGATATTGACCATGGAATAAATGTTACGTTTAGTCTGTTTTCAATGTAATAATATGTGAGCTTCCTCATCCACACATTCATATAAACTGACAGCATAACACAAAACAATATGCAACCAACCCAATGTAATACAATACAAGTTTCACCGCCTGTGCATACCACACTGTTGACGAATATCTCAGGTGTGTTAGAGCGATAATCACATCGCAACATGATTAACAAGCCTACAGCTCAGCAGATTTTAATAACTTATCTTTTTAATAAGAAAAGCAAGATTTATGGATGTCAACTTCTTTATTGTGAATAACACGAAGTTTCGGAGCATATGCTTGCTCCTTCATCAGGTGAAAATCAGGTCACAGTATTGCATTCCACTTCTTAATGCCCATCAAAGATTTAACTTACTTCCAGAGGCTTCTGTAAGAGGCATAAAAATTTGTTAATTAACAAGGCAGTAGGCCTTGTTAATTGGTGACTATTACTTGCCTTGACTCACTCATCAATCAACAAGGGATTAGGTCCCGGGGCGTGCAAATAACAATGATTTACCATCATCAACCAGTTATCTCCCCTTGTGGACATTTCCAAAATTGTAAATCTTTGGAAACATCATCTTTCCAAAATTGGAAATGTCTTGTAAACATGGACTTTTTTTCCAGTGAATAATTTTACTTAACTGTTCTCGTCACGATATGGCTGAAAAATTGACGATGTGACGATAAACATGAACTACATGAACTCACTCACACACAGCGTCAGGCTGTTTGTCAGATGATTGTGATGGTGTCTCAGTCTGATTTTCAGTCTGAAATCCAGATGAAGACTGAGTGACTCGGGATTTCGATGTTATGACTGAAGCTGAAGTAACAGGTTTTCTGACTTGCTCCATGTCAAGTCAATCTGACATGTCACAGAGGATGTAGGCACAGTGAGTGAGTGAGTTTAGTTTTAAGCCGCTTTAGCAATATTCCGGCAATATCAGGACTTGGAAAACCAGAAATGGGCTTCACACATTGTACCAATGTGGGTAATCGAACCTGAGCCTTAGGCATGACAAGCAGACGCTTTAACCACCAGGCAACCCCAACATCCCCTGTAGCCACAGAACAAGTGACTGCGGCAGAGAATGTAATATTTGAGATCTCATTTGTCAGTAGCGTTTTGGTGTCAAACCACGATATGTTTGTCTAAATTTTGTATTCCCTTTGCCACACAGGCAGGATTTGAATGACGCACCATGACGACGAAGATAATTTGCGCATTTACATTCTTTGTCGCAATCTGGGTTCTCATGGCCGTCACCACAACGGAGGCATTTAACAGAGTTGGACCCATGACCCAACTTCTGACATTTATACCGTTAAAGTGAAGATATATGTTATAGAAATACATCTAGTCGGCTTTAAGTGTCTGTGGTAGGGATGTACGAGCAAACGTTAAAATATATGTGTGGGCTTTTATAATAATGCCCTCTTTCTTCAAAGGTGAAACGTTTGACAGCTGTAACACCCCGATCTACAAGCTCTGAGGTAATATCCTCCTCCGACATGTTGGAGCGATTGAGTGATGCCTCGACATGAATTTAATGTTCTGTTCGCAGACACAGCAATCCTCAACATTGGCAACCGATGACATTTGACAAGTCAGCGAGCCTGACCACCCGAAAAGATTGAAAGGTTGCTGAAGGATCTCTCTCCGACACGGATTCCACAACATGAAGTTCGCAGACACAGCAACTTCAACATTGGCGGACAAAAGATTGAAAGGTTGCTGTCTCTGTGATCGTTCTTTACTTTACTTCACCCATGCAGGTAGCAAAGGTACTGTAAAATGCCATGGTCCCTAGTATGGTGATTTACCTTCAGTTGTTGGTGATCTATAGCACGTTTTTTTTATATTGCATTGTCTTACATAGTTAAGATATTTTAGATTTTCATACTAGTTTTACAGTTTTATTGTAGTTACTTTTACTGTCCTTCGCCGACATGTTTTTATAAATCCCTGAGTGAGTCAGTGAGTGATTTGGGTTTTATGCTTTTTTTTAGCAATATTCCAGGATTGCAACTGCAGGGGACACCAGAAATGGGCTTTCGCCCATTGTGTCCATGCGAGGAATCGAACCTAGGCCATCGGCGTAACTAACGAACAATTTAGCCAATAGGCCACCTCACCACCCCTCAAATCCTGAGATAGCCTTAGAAATAGCAAAAGGGTTTAATGGGGAGATCGGCATTTTTTTATTTCAAAACGTCATTCTATTTCATTACACAATAAACCAGATGGTTGTAGATTCATGTTGAAAAGAAAATGATTCAGCACCCACCATGGAGTGTCAAGAAGGACGATGTCAAAGATGACACCAGGGATGCAGGGGTGATATACTCAAGCGAATCTGACACGAATATTTGTAGTTCCAGTTCCATGTCAGACTGGGTCGGCCCACAGCACCCCAAAAATGAGATACACATTATTTTGAAGTCAACATTACCAGATTGGCTCATGATCAACAGCCTTCCGGTATAGGAGTGAAGGCAATTTGATATACCAGTATTTTATATCAGAAATCGAATTGACGAAGACGCAATTAGCAACTAAATATGCAAAATATTCAGCATGCACAGGGCTTGGCGTTACCAACCAATGGATCTAATCGGGTGCATTCTACCATCTCTCTAGGTCGGAAGTGGTGTATTGGGCAACGGGACACTAGACCTGGACCTGGGGTCCTTGATCATCAGACTCCACCTACACAGGGAGCAATGCACGGCAAACAGATTTCCTAATTCGATCACCTTTTACGACCAGCAAAGGGGTGCTGAGGACTTATTCTGCCCCGGGTCCACACATGGGAAGACCTATTAGCGTTACCAATTACTCACCACGAGGAGGTTGCTCTTCACGAGTGCAAGAACGTCGTCCTCGTGTTGAATGTACTTCAGATATTAGTTGTGGCATATCACAAATCATCTTTATCATCATACATGCGAAAACATCTTAAGCACTAAGAGGTTTGATGAATATTGCTTAAGCAAAAATCGTTGTTTTAGATAGGTTGCTATGGAAAGTAAGAATTCTTACCAGACTTAAGAATTCTTAAGGCTTAAGAATATTCTAAGAAATTTAGTGAATCCGGCCCCTGGTGATAGCGGTGTGTGTAATATAGGAAATTGTTAAAGGCCACATGCAACCAAAAAATCAAACATAATTAAAACACAATTATCACTTATTCATGACATATAATATACATTGCTGATTATGAAAAAACATATAAACAAAATTATAAACGTACAATCGCAAATCAAAAGTGCAATATTTTGTACTTGGGTTTACTTCCCAAGAAACGAAGCACCCGGGACACCGAACCCAGTCAGAGCGGGTGGGTGTACACTCAAGTGTAACGGCTGGTTCATTTGAAGATGCCCTCACGGCCCATTGGGCGTGTATATATGGAGATGTTGGGTTTTCTAAATACATGCTCATTTTCTGTGTATAACATTTTGCAATCAACAGACATTTGCAATCAACATGTCTTATGTACAAGTATCACACCTGCCTGTCTGTGTAATTACATATATGACACAGACCGAACTCGGGCCATAAATCAATGCGTTTTGTTTATGGTGTACAGCCTGATAGGTGTTGAGTTCAAATTGCATGTGGTCAGTGATCGAAGTTGCGTATTGAATATTGTCATTAGCAGACAGGCAGGCAGGCAGAAACATAGGTGTCAATAAAACAGACATTGAGTTTTGTCTGTGACAACGACATATCTAAATCACAGTTAGAAATTCTGTCAACGCTAAATAATGAAATTGCTTTTAAGTATCGAACTGAGAAAGTGACTCTGTAAGAAGAACGTGTGGTGAAGTAGACAAGTGAAATTATATAAACAGTTCAATCGGCAATCTACTGTCATAACATATAAAAAAGCTCGCGCCTGTGAAATATCAACAAAACATTAGAAAAATAGCTCACACCAAAGCCTTTCACTGAGTATTCACCGGACAACCCGCTTCCAAGCTGCGCGAACCTATTTCACTGTGCATGTGCTATGAGCGCAACCCAGCGTAGCGTAGCCCAGCTGTTGGAACCACTTTTTGCCCCCAGCGCTGGGGGGAAATTAGTGAATCGTTTGAACTCCTATTTCGCGCGGTTTTGTTTCATTGCGTTATTTTTCAACTTTATAAGTTGAATTTGCATTTTTGATGATTTGTTTCGGTACGTCCATACCGAAAGGTATCAGAATCTGCAAAGTTGTGTTTTACGCTTCATGTGACCTTTAATCTGTCATATTTGGACTGATATGCCAACATTAAACTGCAAAGCACATGTACTTTTGCCAGTGTAGGGTTGTCCTAGAAGCGGAAAATTTCGGGGAACTTTCTGCTGAGAGAAACAATTTGGAAGAGATAATACTTCTTATCTCAAATTTATTCCAGCTGCGCCCAGTTCTTAGTATGATAGCTTGACACACTTTAAAACTGACGTTGAAATAATGCAGAATGTTAACAGCTCAGTTTAAGACCTCCGGTCTTATCATCCACTTTGTTTACTCTTATCTCAAATATTTAGATATGTATAAAACTGTCACGTGCTGCTCTCACGTGTTTGATAAAACATTTAAAAGCTACTGCTGGTGAACCGAAGTATCATACTTTCACAACAGAATGTTGTTACTGCTTCTGTGCTCCTTGTTTCTGTGCAGAGCGGCGTTCGCTGACACAACCGTCACAATCTACAACGAGTGGCTCTCCCAAGGTGGACGTGTACATTATGAACCTGAAAGATGGAATAAAATAAACGGCCTCACCCAAGAGAACCTAATTCCAAAGTGTAAATCTATCGGGACGGCGGCCGGACGGTGGGTGAACAGAGACCTGAGGGATGATTTTTTTCCAAATGTAAGTACAAGGTAAAAAGCATAATGCATACATGAAAGGAAGTTAGGAAATATAATTCATGGTCCTTGTTGATGTGTTCCTACCGAATTTATACTTTGTCTGAGGAGATTATTGTTAGAATCTTGTTTTACCTTCCTTAAAAGTTGAACTAGGCAGTCCGAGTGTGTGAGTTAATGTATTTTTATGATCACGGAGCAGATTGTTGTTGATACTACCATTATTAAATTGTCTAGCTCTGGCTATATTCGATAGTCTATGGCACCACTTAGCCAAGATCCACACCTGCTAAGACTCTTATGCCGTGGAGACTTTAACTTTGCACACTAGGATATTGTTTGTTTATTTGTTTGTTGGTGAACGCCGAAACATTATTCTAGAAAATAATCGAATCTGTAATAGTGAATGAGTCAGTTGGGTTTAACGCCGCTTTCAGCAATATTCCAGCAATCTACACCTACTAAGACCCTTTAGCCTTACCGTGTTCACTTCGATACTGTAAACGGGAACAAAAGTATTGATCAGACATGCACGAGTGATTTAGTGAGTTTACGCCACTTTTAGCAATATTCTGGCAATATCACAGCAGGTGACAACAGAACAGACATGCATGACTATAAGATATGGATTAAACTAACAGTAAGTGTGGACAGTAAAATTGTGACAATCGTTTTTCTTTGGGACCCATGAAGATTCGGGGTAGAATAGGTCTTCAGCAACCCATGCTTGCCACAAAAGGCGACTATGCTTGTAAGAGGCGACGGGATCAGGTCAGGCGATGGTCAGGCTCGCTGACTTGGTTGACACATGTCATCGGTTCCCAAATGTGCGGATCGATGCTCATGCTGTTGATCACTGGATTGTCTGGTCCAGACTCGATTATTTACAGACCACCTCCATATAGCTGGAATATTGCTTAGTGAGTTTAAGTTTACGCTGCGCTCTGCAATATTGCAGCTATATGGCGGCGGTCTGTAAATAACTGAATCTGGATCAGAGTGAGTGAGTTGAAATGTATCGTCACATCGGCAATATTTCAGCCATATCGTGACGAGAACAATGAATTGTATACATAGTAAGTAATGGTAAATTGTAAAAACCTGTCGACGAAGGACAGTAAAATAACTAGATTATCACAGATTCGACTTTAAAACAAATAATTGAATCTAAAACAGTGTAACTATAAATGACAATACAAGATAAAAACATGCTATATATTGCCAACAACTGAAGAGTCTGGATCAGAAAATCCAGTGATCAACAGCGTGAGCAACGATCTGCGCAATTGGGAACCGATGACGTGTCGGGTGGTCAGCGAGTCTGACCACCCGATCCCGTTAGTCGCCTCTTACGACAAATATGGGTTACTGAAGATCAATTGTAACCCGGACCTTCACGGTTCAAGCCGGTGTTTAACAAACCCAGACAGTAAGTAGTGTAATAACAATGATGCAGTATTTTCTAGATTACATAACACGAAAAACTATGTTTATTATGAGGGGAGGTGAGGTGAAGTGAAATTGGGTTTAACGTCGTGCTTGAGAATATTTCACATGTGTATGTGCGGCTGCTTGTACTAGCCCAGACTTAAGCTGGTTTTATAGTGCTAGCCCACTGAGATACCATGCCGCAGTGAAGCAGGAATACTCCACTCAGACACATTATACTGACTCCGAGCCGACCAGTCCTAGTTGTACCCATTAATGCCAAGCGCAAGGCAGGGACCAACAAGTACCATATTTTAACGTCTTTTGGTATGACGCGGTCGGGGATCGAAACCGCGACCTTCCGCTCTCCGGGCGGACGCTCTAACCACTACACCACGGAGGAGGCCATGTTTATTATGAAAAGACTACTAATCTAATCACGTTTATACCCTGTATTCGACGTAGAACCAGGATCAGTTTGCTGACTTCCTTGACACATGTCATCATATCCCAATTGCGAAGATCGATACTCTTGATGGTGGTCACTGGATTGCGTGGCCCAGGCTCGATTATTTAAAGACAGTTGCTTTACAGCTGAAATGTTGCCACAAACAAACAAATAAGAAATCATGGAATTATCACAAATTTAATACAAGCATTATTTATATGTTACATATGCAGTACGAGGGCCCAATAAACTTATTTGGTAATCTCAGTTTCTGTCACCCTTTGTAAAGAAATCTTTGTTCAGCAATCCTGTCCTGGGAACATGTATTGTATTTAATCCTCACATGAGTTTGGTTTGTTTGTTGTTTTACGCTGCCAACTCCGCAATATAGTCCAGCTATATGGCGGCGGCCTGTAAATAATTGAGACAGTCCAGTGATCAACATCATGAGCATAGTTCCACGCAATTAGGATACGATGACAAGTCAGCAAGCCTGACCACCCAATCCCGTTAGTCGCCTCTTACGACAAGCGTGAGTTGCTGAAGACGAATTCTAAACTGGATATTTCGCGGGTTAACCCACACATGAAAGTAACGCACACATTAACAATTTTCTTTCACAGAGATAACTGGCTAATTTATATCACACCATTCTATTTCATCCAGTGGCCACAAAGCCCTACTCAGCCAGGTTACCCAGACCCGACGTACCTCCAGGACCCAGCACGCCAGACAAAGGCATGGGCGAACTACATGATAGAACTGAATGGCTATGGAAAAAACATCTCTAACATGGTCTGGAACATACAGGGTAAGTCACCAAAGCGTTTTCAGAGAAACATAGATGGAGATAAGTCAGTGTCCCAGTGTCCCCGGCTGAATTGAGTGGCAGTGAATATCGGTTTTGATCCCGAAAGGAACTGAACCTAAATCTTACCAGAATCTGTAGCTTATGGAGAAAGTGAAATCCCAAATATGTCTTATACTACACAGAAGGTAGTTTAACACGGAATACATGTGTTTGACTTAAGTGTCATATATTCTCATTTACAGGTTTGAGCTGGCCGGTTTGGATGAATAAGTCGCAGCATAAAGGCATGTTCCCCAATAACGTTGATGCTGCAGCAGAACTTGTGTCACTGATGGTTGAGGGTGCCAATAATTACACGGGAGGACGAATTCCCTACATGTTTGAAGTCATTAATGAACCTGATTGGAAGGAAAAATATATTGACCCACAAACTAATGTTGACTACCACAGGGCCGTCGCTGACAAACTGAAATCAAGAGTTGGAATCAAAGTTGCTGGACCATCGTACACAAGTATGGCTTTACGACAAGCGGACGAAAATAACTTCAGCTTCTGGAAGAGAACTGCTGAGTTTATGGACATGTCTCTTGATCACTTGGACTTTTTCTCTTTCCATTCCTACGACTTTCTCCGTTTTTCACGTGGAAATTATTCATATTTTGGCATAATTGAAGCTCGTTTGGTTGCTTCTCTGGACATGGTGGAGAATTACTCTTTCCTCAAGAAAGGAAAATATGTTCAGTTAGTGAACACTGAATTTGGGAGAGGTAACGTTTTCGGGGTCAGTCCCAATTTGGAAAATGGACAGATAGAGTTTGAAACCATTTATCAACCAAACGGCTTCATGTTTAGCTTCCTTAATATGAGAGAGTTCATAGACAGAGTTACCATATTTCTCCTCTCAAATGAACAATTCCCGGGTCATCCTTCCATCCGGAATTCCTTATTTACCGTTGATGGTCAACCTCTTCAACCAACCAAATTCTTCCTGTTTTGGCAAAACTTTACTAACGACCAAACGTTTCTCCGTGTTTCAAGTCCATACAATGGACAGGAGAGAATGGTTTCGCCTCTTGCCCTGGCAAACCCTCTCACCAACGAGATGGTAGTTCTTCTCCACAACTATGGCAGTACATTTGAGAATGTTAAACTGGACTTTCCCAACAACTGGCTCAACCCTACCACGGGTGAAGAAACGTGTGTTCTGCTAGAAAATGGTAATCCAACCATTCATGCTGGTTACCATTTCAACATATCGAAGGTTAATGGCACTGTTGGTCTCCCCGGATCATCAACCTGCTTCTACAAGTTCAAAACCAACTACAACTTTGCTGGAATACGCACGACTAACGAGACCACACGCTATGGCAAGGACATGGTCATCCCCATCACCAACGGACATGCACAGACAACCATAAGTCTACCTAGCTCCAAATACGATACTGCTCAACTTAGAGTGGCAGTGAGCAGAGACCGTAAGGTCGATGCAAAACCCAATGCAGTTCAGTTCAATGGTCAGACATTGTCTTCAAGCTACATGCTGTTTGATGCTATGAGGGCTGGCGGGAAAACAACATGGAACGTTTGGGTGTTCAATGTCCCTTCATCACAGGTCCGTGCAACCAACACCGTCAGCATGACCTTTGATGGAGATGGTGGCCACGTGACATCCGTCGCACTCGTTGTTTGGAAACTTCTGTAGATAAATTTCACTATGAGAATATTTGGTTTCGTTTGATTGAAATCATACAAGAGAAAGGACATCCCAAGAGCGGGCGATGCTGTGATTATTTGGATTTACATACAAGATTAAGAATGATGGATTAAGTGAGGTTGATCAGAGTATAGAGGAGGGTCCTGATACACGATACACACTGAGTTAGGTTACTTACTCAAGCTACAAAAACGGACTGCAGAACACCACACTAACGACCATGGGGACGTACAGTGCTTGTGGTAGCTGCATGGACCCTCGGTCGATTTCACCATCCCATCAGATGCTTGCGATTATAAACAAATCCAGCAACGAATTCAAATAGACTAAAACATAGTAGCCTTAAATTTACTTTGAAAGACTTGGTCTAACGTGCTCTGGAGCAAGATAACTTTTACAATACTTTACTTACCTTTGAGGAAACAACCACTAACATTGTTAGTTATCAATGTGATCTAAAGACTTTAAAATAGCACATACCAATTAACAAAGCATATAATAAAATATTTTTAAAAATCAACAATTAAATGAAAACTATTTAACTATATTTCAAAGATCCTTCTTTGATAAAACTTTGAAACAGATGCTAAACCATGATTCCTTCATCAGAAGGGACACATAATAGAGGATCATCAAATGTTAATAGGTATTTATTAGTGTATCTGCAGTTGCCAGAGTGAGTGAGTGAGTATGGTTTTACTCCACTTTTAGCAATATTCCAGCAACATCACGGCGGGGATCACCAGAAATGGGTTTCACACATTGTACCCATGTGGGGAATCGACCCCGGGTCTTCAACGTGACGAGCGAATAATTTAACCACTGGGCTACCCCAACGTCCGGCCAATACATCGTCGCACAATGAACTGTTCAAATCTTGACCAACATCCCAAGCAGGTGTAAGAGACTCTTGGTTTTATTTGATGTCATTTATTGATACCAACTTGGGAATCCCACTTCTTTTGCATTATTTTGTAAGAGATATAATCAGTATGGGAATAGAAATGGTGTCACAGATTTGTCGAGTGTTACCTTAGCAGCAGCATCTGCCATTGTGTTTACCAGAAATGCCAACATGACTGGATAACCAACAGACGACGATGTCGAATTGGGTCAGTAGCAAGATTATTATAAAACTTGATTATTTCGTTTAAAAGTGGATGTTTACAAGATGTGTTGCATAGTCCCAAGCAGGTGCAACCGATATTTTGTTTAATTTTATGTGTATTTATATTTACTTGCATCTCTTGCATTAGATCAGGGCCCCGTTCCTCAAGGCGATCGTAGAGCTACGACAGTCGTAAGTCTATGTTAAAGTATAGGAGTTACGATCAACTTAGCGCTACGATCGCCTTGAGGAACGGGACCCAGGGATGTAAGAGCTGATCACCTTCTTGAAAACGACGTGTGGTATGACAACTGGTGTCACAGATTTGTTCAATGCTACCATAGCAGCAGAATTGGCCATTGTATTACCAGAACTTCAAACATGGTTGGAAAACAATCAGAGAACGGTGTCGTATTGGCCAGTAGCAAGATCATTATATAATTCAAGTATTTTTATTAAAAAAGGATGTTTACACGACATACTTTCGTAGCCGGAAGACAAGAATTCCAAAAATATTTTAGATTGTATATATTAAGGGTGGTTTTGAATATATTCAAGAGACGCTAATGTGGTGTTTGCTTCTGCTGCAAGTGTGGTTTTAGGCCGCTTTTAGCAATATCACGGCGGGGACACCGGAAATAGGCTTCATACGTTGTACCCTTATGAGGAGTCGTACCAGGGTCTTTGGCGCGACGAGCGAACGCTTTAACCACAAGGCTACCCCCACCTCCCTGATTCTGCTGTGAACATAGAGCTGTTATCCGGTAATCCAGAAGATAATGATCTACATCCATTAAAGGGAAGCATTCAGAGGGAACGGTCTGTGTATTACGCTCCGTCCCACTAATATTGAAGAGGCTCCAGTTGCTTTTGGACCTGGAGGAGAAAAGGAGTTGTATGAATTGTACTGAAAAAATGATCGTTTTCTTTGAAATAGATTTCCTGCAAACAAAACGATGATAGTTCAAAAACTTGTAAAAGTATTTGTAAATCATCAAAATGTTTCTTAACTCTATGCATTTCCTTCGAATAATGGTAATGGAGTTCTTGAATGGGGTTAGGGTCGACTCCCATTGACTGCATGAGTTTAAACTGATGTTAAACCTTTACATAGGGTGACTGAGAAGAAGGCACGTCTGTGTGGTGTATAGGGCAAAGGAACGTTATTCCTGCAACCATCAGCATCCCTTCCTCCACCGACACAGGGGTGCAATGAACAGCAGACAGGTTGCCTAATTTAGTCGCCTCTATCGACCACCAATGGGGCGTTGAGGACCTTTTCTGCCCCAGGTCCACACGCGGGAAGACCTATTAGCGTTGCCCAGCATTCACCACGAGGAGGTTGCTCTTCACGAGTGCCAGAAGGTCCTTGTGATGAGTGCACTTTAGATGTTATCTGTAACATAGCACAGATGATGTTCACCATGGTGACGATGATATCGGTGTGTGTAATTAAGGCTACTACTTCAACTACTACTAATTTGGGGTATTGTCTCGCCTTTACCTTGTGTGCTTTGTATATAAATAGACTGCATTCCGCTGCAAAACATGCAAACATGTATTTGCACGTGTAGCTTTTGTTCTATAAGCGGAGACGTTTGGTGAACTTTCTGCTCAGTCAGAGACACTTTGGAAGAGATAATATCTGCTTTATTCCAGCTTGGTCAAGTATATAGCATAGTATTTAATTCATAGTATGATAGCATGGCACACATTCACCCTTGTATTGTGACATATTTCATATTCCTGGCGATGATGCATTTATCGTTTTCATCTCTAAACTGAAAGGACCTAAATTCAACTATTCAGAAGGCTATTGACGTTGAAATATTGCAGAAAGAGCAGAGGAGAACACTGTTGAGTTTGAGACACCTGGGCCCCGTTTCACAGAGCTCTCGTAGGGGCGGTGGAGTAGCCTAGTGGTTAAAGCGTTCGCTCGTCACGCCGAAGGCCCGGGTTCGATTCCCCACATGGGTACAATTTCTGAAGCCCATTTCTGGTATCCCGCGCCGTGATATTGTTTAAATATTGCTTAAAAAATGGCGTAAAACCATACTCAGTCAGACAAAGCTCTCGTAGCGCTACGACTATTGTAAGTAAATGTTACAGTATAGGAAGTACAAATGCTGCGAGAAAAGGTACGAGATCTTAGGCTTTCGAGAGCTTAGTGGAACGAGGTTGGTTGGTTGCTTGGTTGCTTTGCTTGCCGCACTCTGCAATATTCCAGCTACATGGCAGCGGTCTGTAAATATTTGAGTCTGGACTAGACCCGTCTTATCACCCACTTTTTCTACCTATCTGAAATAATGGGACTATCTAAAACTGTCACGTGCTGCTCTCCCATGTTTGACAAAAAAAAACATTTAAAAGTTGCTGGTGGTAAACAGAAGTATCATACTTTCACTACAGAATGTTGATACTGCTTCTGTGCTCCTTGTTTCTGTGCAGAGCGGCGTTCGCTGACAAGACCGTCACAATCTACAACGAGTGGATCTCCCAAGGTGGACGTGTACATTATGAACCTGAAAGACGGAATAAAATAAACGGCCTCACCCAACAGAACCTAATTCTCACATTATTGAGAAAAGGAGGGGTGAACACTTCATTTTCAACCGAGTTTCAATGGTCCTTTAACAAACTTTCAGCACACAGCACAAAAGGGGGGTGCGCACTCCTGCATACCCCCACCCCCACCCACACACACACACACACCCTGGATCCGCCTATGCTGTGTAGTCTTCAAGAACAAATGTTTTGTGAGCTGACCGGCCACTATGATTCCTTGCATCCCTTGTAATGTATGTATACATTTAGACTGCACTGTTCACGGGTTTATATATATATACTCAGCAGCAAAAGAAAACGTCAGTACGAATTCAAAATTAGATAGGCACCGTTATCAAATCATTACGGAAATGGACATTATAAGCGGATCAAAAACATTTTTCTGTACAATATCCTGACACATGAATGAATAACTCAGCACAATTCCAAGACATTACGTAAACGTTTGCAGTCCATTCAGACTCTTGACCTCAGTATCTAGTATGACCACCACGAGCGGCAATAACTGCAGCACAGCGTCTATGCATGGAGTGCACTAATCGATTGATGAAGGCCATTGGCACCTGGAACCAAATTCTGAGAAAGGCCTGGCGCAATAAATTAGCTGTGTTCGGCCTTGGTATGACATTATTCATTAGTCTCATCTGAATTTCATCCCAAAGATGTTAAATTGGGTTTAAATCAGGACTAAGGGCTGGCCACTGCATAATGTTGACACCTTTCTGCTGTAGGAAGTCCCGTGTAGCTCTGGCAGTATGGACCCGGGCGTTGTCATGCTGGAAAATGTTCTTCCGGTGACATGCAAAATATGGTATGAAGTGAGGTCTGAGAGCTTGGTCGATGTAGCGCACCGCTGTGATGCCACCTCCTCTCCCTGGACCAAGGTTCTGGAACACCACAGGACCCACTCTCTGGTTCAGGCCTATTCCACCCCATACCATGATGCTTGAACCTCTCCTTGAGTCTCTTTCAATAACACATTGGTCTGAGTAACGCTGGCCACGTCGTCGCCATATTCTCGTTCTGCCATCTGCAGTTGATACGCAGTACCGACTGTCATCTTTGAACAGAACAGTTCTCCATTGCCTGTATCGCCAGTTTTGGTGTTGTAGGACAAACTGTACACGTTCACGACGATGACGAGGGGTGAGGATAGGTCCACGGTAAGGTCTACGGCAATGGAGGCTCCGCTGTTAAGACGTCGGCGTTCTGTATCAGTACTGATTAGTCTTCCGTGTCTTCCCACTGTCTGGCGTTCTGTTGCGGACATTTTATAGGGCTGTACGCAGAACTATGTGGCCTGGTTTTGCAGCTAGTTCGTCAGTGATGTACTG